TCATTAACATATTGGGAATATAAACCCTCGTATCTCAAAGACCCGACATTCAAATGATGAATTATTTTCACAATCAACTATTCACTATTTAAAGAATCAGTTCTGAAAATATTGTGTAAAGGCTTATAAGCACTTTAAATACTTGACAATGTGTCTGCTGTGCTGAGGGGTGGGGGGAGTGGGGGTGAGGGATGGTTAATAAAAGTCCTATGTCATATAAAGAGCGGTTTAATTAATGCAAGTATTTCTGCCCAGGGGGGACCCTTTATAAAAAAGGGCAGGGATGCTCGTCTGGAATTTTCAAAATGACCCCTAAGAGGTAACCTGAGGAGTAATCCAGCACCGCTTGAAAGCTGGATTTTCATTGCTCCCTAAGTACAGTACGGCTTTCGTAAAGTTAGGTTTAGTGCTATTGTTTGGATGACCAATCTATTGTTTTTTAATCCAATCATGTAACTCGTTCCGAGCGGTACGGGCTGGCTCAACCTGAGTCCAGTCCAGGTGGGCATGTCAACTTATGATCTTTATCCCTAAAATTACCTATGATCAAAGTGACATGAAGTCAGATAATGAACTGGAAATAAATATCCTGATTTACAGCTGCCATTCTGACTGTCATCATATAATCTCAGGTATCTTATTGCCTCAAAAAACACCCTAAGAGGTACTGGCTTACTCTCTGGTAGTCCTTTTAGATTTGTGACACCCAAAGAGGTACCAAATTGCAGATCTGGAACCTTAAAAGTTACGAYGAGCATCCCCGCCCCCGCCCTTCTCTAATCTGTGTCCCCCCATGGGTAATTCTGTTCTTCCAATCTCTAAATATGGACAGTTAAGTCATACCCAGCAAGCAGTATGGGTGTATTTTTATTTTCTCACCTGAGCAGCCCAAACTTTCCCTAACTTGTTCAACATCCTTAGTACTCAGAGGAGCAGTACGAAACTCATCAATCTTCTTCTCGCACTGGGTAACACTAGATGAATCACTGTATGAAGCTAGAATCCTAAGTAAAGCACCCTTAATATCATCATAATAATTCTCAAAATCAGCATGACTAACTTCCAAGGCATCAGCATGTGCGAATGTGTTACGGTACCATCTCATTCTTGCTATATCTGCTTCGATTGAAGTATCTGCCTGGCTTGGAAGATTGTTCCATCCATTCATAGGATTCCCAAGACCATTATAAATTTCTTTTTGCCTTAGTAATTTAATTGACAACGACAGATCGAATGACTTTGAGTCCACATTTCCACTGGGAGGGAAAAGTTTGTTCCATTCAGAATCGTTTATAACTTTTTTCTTTTTCAATCGCTGTAGCACGTTAAGCACAAGTGGATCGCTCAGTTTGATTGCCAGATCAGGGACCTTAGAATCAAAGAATCCACTAACGATCTTAGATCCTCCGGAATTCAGAAGCCTTGATAACCTCATGAAATTATCTTTCTCTGGTGAAGCTTGTAGAACTTCGTTTAAAACAACTGCTGCACTTGCCATTAATAAATCTTAAACTAAACTTCCACCTATAGGATATATACATATTCTCTATAAACGAAGAATTAGAAGCTTCAAGCCAATAATTCTTGAGAATTTCCCAGGTTAAAAATTTTTCATCCGCCCCTCCTTTTTCATAGGAATTACTTCAGTTTACTTCATTTTTTACTTCCGGGAAATATGACACGCACTGGGCCTCGGAACTACCACAGGCAACCCAGATTATTATTTATTGTTTTTCGTTGTTGTTTTGTTTTGTTTTGCATTTGTTTTGTTTTTTGGTGTGTATTTCTCCTCCAAAAAATAGTAAAAATAAATATAGTTAACGGTTTTTTTGGAACATCAATGGCCACAAGAAAGATCCAGATAAATGAATAGAAATTTTGAATTTCAATTTTAAATATTTATTTTATTAATTACTTAGTTCTAATCTCCAAGTTTAAAGTAATGCAATAACAATAATCTTTTACGTGTTATTGCACACCAAATTTAAACAATATTCATTAACATATCYCATTACACTAATATCTATATTTTTCCCTTGTTTTGCACTGCCCATTTTTCTGCGCATGCTACTAAAAGCATGGAACTAACAAAGTTTAGGCATTTTTCTTTCAGAAACTAAATAAGAAACATGTTCAAAACCAATTTTCACATTTTTTCTCTTTTTTTTGAGTAGAGAAATTACGATTTTTATCTGACTCGCCCCAGTCTCCACTCGGAAAAGTGTCAGTTTTCGACTACTTTGAGATGTTTTTCCAAGATAAATCAAAAACGAGAATGGTGACCCCCATTTTATTTCAGATTTTTGATTAAATGCAACGCTTGTCATTATATATCAAAATATGAAGGAAAGTTTATTGGATAGCTTTTGAAATATTTTGATGGGAATAGTTGACATGTGTAATTTTTGGACGTTCTAGAGGCGCACATACCTGCATTTTTCACTCATAGTTCAAGAATCATAGTTATGCAATGACTTTGATGGATTTAATAGTATAGATTATCTAGTAAACTTTGAGTTATAAGTACGTTTTGTTATCTTTTAATTGTGAATAAAGGTTCTTGATTACAGCTTCCGGTTGCTACCGCATTTCACTATAAAACCCATAAATTGACATATTTGGAGACCATCTAGCGTAAAAACGAGAATGGTGACCCCATCTTTTTATTCAATTCAATTCAATTCAATTGATTCACACACTTTAAATAGAAATAAATATAACAAATCATAATTGTTTATACAGTGGAACCCCGTTAATAAGGACACCGTTGGGACGGACAAAACCGAGGTGTCCTTAGAGCGGGGTTCCACTGTATTTTCAAGTTATTCTAGATTTTATAAAAAGATACATAAATAAATATTAAATATAAACAGTTACTACAGTGAGTGTGCAGTGATGGTTTAAGTAGTATAAACTTTCGAGTAAACTTTCACTAAATACAGAAAATATATATTATCAATGGCAAGATTGTCGTGCAAAACTAGCACAAGTATTTTTAATAGCTATATGAATGTATTTATTTTGAAATTTTAATTATATACTACTATTGGGTACTCAACAGATGTGATTTTAATGAACTTTTGAAAACTTTGAATGAATTGATATTTTTAATAATTAAGGGATTTCTTCCCATAGTATATGTAAAAGTAAACTGACCATAGTTGTTCCTAGCATATGGTGTGTATTAATTGCTTTTTGAAGCATGTCTAGTATTGTAGGAATGCGCAGCAGAAGAGATTGGTTTTAGAACTGACCAGAAGACCTTTGGGACTTCCGATTTGTTATGAATAATTTGATATACAAAACGACCCATTTTGAATTTCAGCAGATTATTGAAATTCAAAATGTGTACACTGGTAGTAGGTTATAGAATGGTGTTTATTACTTATTTACTTACTTTGGTACTTATTATGCAGAGTATTGACTTTAGTTAGATGAGATTTAGATGTATTACCCCAAAAGATATAACTAGCTAAAAACTAGTGTGAGCTGCGTCGGTGTTTCTAATGAAACAGTAATGATGAAAAGGTCATTCTTTCTTGGTCAAGGGAGTTCTTCCCTCTAACAAAGAACCTGGTACTTTTCGCTGTTCTCGTAAACGTTGTTATACTTGTCCTCACATAGYCTCTCACACTTCTGTTGTCGGTCCTAAATCAACTGTTAAAATCACTGACCACTTTGTTTGTACCACTTCTAATGTTGTATATTGTATTAAATGTACCCGCTGTAATCTTTTGTATGTGGGCGAGACTGGCCGCCGTCTTGGTGATAGCATTTGCGATCATCTTTATGATATTCGCAATAACGATCCCACCAAACCAGTTTCCCGCCATTTTAAYCTAGCCAACCATTCTCTTTCTGACTTCATTGTTTTCGGCCTTTCTTTGATTAACGGCAACAATGATTGTCGCAAGACCAAAGAAATGCGGCTTATTCACCTATTGGGCACTCTTAGTCCCAACGGGATTAATGAACGCTTTAMTTTCAACTAACCTTTTCTTTTGTCTTTTGATTGTTTGTTTTTGTTTCCTTGCCTACCTTTCTCTCATTGGTTTCTTTTGTCTTATTCTATCATATATACACTCYTTTCTACCACYTCTTTCTCTTTTACTCCGACGAAGGACTAGCGTCCGAAACGTCAGTAAGTTTTTTCATCTTTTCACGGTGTATAATTTACCTTTTCATCATTACTGTATTACCCCAATGAGAGCAAGCCATATCATGGGTAAATGAGAGCATAATAGATGTCCTTTAATGTTTTTAGGTCGACAAAATACCTTAACTTCCTAATAATACCTATATTTTTTGCTATTTTGTTAGTAACATGTTTAATATGCCGAGTCCATTTGATGTTCTCRTCAACATAAATACCATAAATACATAAATAAACTAAGCATTTCAGAAACATTAGGTAGATCACTTACATTAATGAAAAACAAAAGAGGACCAAGGTTTGAACCTTGGGGAACTCCACATATCTCTTTATGACTAGATTCAGAATTGCCAATCTTAACAAACTGTCTACGATTACTTGAATACCTTTTAAACCAATCAAGTGTCAGCCTTCTAATTCCATAAGCATACAATTTTTGTACCAAGATGCCACGTTTAACAGTATCAAAGGCTTTCGTGAAGTCTAAAAATGTACCACAAGTGATTTTTTGTCGTCAAAAGCTTGCTTCATCATATCCGCAAGGCTTTCTAACAAAGCATGTTCCGTAGAACGCTTTTTCCTGAATCCATACTGATAATCAAAAAGTAAATTGTTTTTGTCAAGATGACTGACAATTTGTTCATATATTATTCTTTCAGGTATTTTAGCAAATGATGATAATGTAGCTATTGATCTATAATTGCTTGGATTAGTAACATACCAGATTTAAATATAGGAGTGACTCGGGAAATCTTGAATGAGCTTGGAACTAATCCCAATCTAATTGATTCATTATGAATATGTGTAATTGGAATCGCCAATTCAGAGCTTGCTAGTTTAATTAAGCGATTAGGGATATCAAGAGAAGATTTATTGCTGTCCAGGTTATTAAATCGTGTTTTTACTTCATCTAGTGTTAAAGAGGTGATAAGACAGCACTTTCTAATGGTGTAGATTTAATAAACTGGGTAACATTTTCAACATTACATTGTGGAATAGATTTTTCCAATTCAGGTCCAATATTGATAAAAAATGTATTAAATTCCTCTGCAATATCCTTCTCGACAGTCAGTTTGCTCGTTATGTATTAGCTTGGAAGGCCGAATTTGACCTTTTGTTTTTCTGTTAACTAGTCTACAATAATTGAATGTATTCTTAGGATTGTATTTATTTTCCTCAAATTTCATTGAAAAGTTTTTATTGTTTTCTAGACTTAATCAGGTTATTTAGTACATTAGAGTACTTTTTATAGTGTTGTATTTTTTGATCATCATTTGATTGAAAGAGAGTTTTATACAAGTAGTTTTTATGTTTAATTGATTTTAAAATTCCATTTGTTATCCATGGCTTTGACAATTGTTTTGCTTTTTTCTTAGAAGACTTTTTTAAGGGTACATGTTTATCTATAATATCCCTTATTAGATCCAGAACTCTTGTAGTTGTTCTATCAAGATCTGTATCATACATTTCTGGCCAATTGACATGATGAAGCACTTCCAAGAATGTATTTTCATTAAACTTAGAATACAGTCGACTCTCTTTGAACGACCACTCTCGTAAGCGACCATCTCCCATAAGCGACCACTTTTTGAATTTCCCGTTTTGTTCCCCATATAAACTCTGTAAAAAAACTCTCTCGTAAGCGACCACTCTCGTAATTTAGCGACCGCGACCACCTTTGGGGTTAAAATTTTGGAATTTTTCATTGTTTTTCCTCTCCCGTAAGTGACCACCCAAGAGCCAGTAATGGTGACAGATCCTTTAACAATAAAAAATTTAAGAACATAGTCATCGGGTATTGAAACCCCGACGAAATATTTACAATTACACTACTTTAAACATATAGCAAATTCAAAATTTTGATTAAAACAGTTTAATCGTTAATACAGTAGTTTTTACACGTGAGTTACAAAATTATAAAGGGTTTGGGCTTCCTGTGTTGGGATTCACATTGTTTGGGCTTCCTGTGTTAGCTCTCGTAAGCGACCATCTCCCGTAAGCGACCTCATTCTCCTGGCCCCGAGGTTGTCGCTTACGGGAGAGTCCACTGTAATCTCGATAATAGGTTGGAAGCTCACTCTTTTGCTTGTGATTACTAATAAAACAAAAAATTGGCAAATGATCTGATATATTGATCTCTACTCTACCAGGTGTCATGTCTAAATGATGACAATTAGTATAAATATGATCTATTAGGCTTGAGGAGGTATTAGTTATCCTTGTTGGCTTTGTGATAGTTGGATAAAAGCCATTAGAAAAGAGCATATTTATGTATTCTTCAACAGATGCATTAGTAATATATTTCATTAAATCAATATTAAAGTCACCTGTAATATAAACGTCATATCTTGTATGTATTGTTTTAAGAAGGTCTTCAAATAAAGAGGTGAATTCATTTAAGTTCCCACTAGGATGTCTATAAATACAGCCTATAATGATATTTTGCTTACTCTCTTCGTTTTCAAAGTCTATCCAAGTAGATTCTACATTAGGCATATTAATTGTTAAATCTGGTCTATTGATAACTGTTAGAGATTCCTTCGCATAAATAGCTGTCCCACTTGCCATGGTAGGTGAATCATTATGATAAAGAGAATAGTTTCCTATATCAACGTTTGAAATAGAATTGGAATTTAATCTAGTGTCTGTAATTGCTAATATTTCTGGAAGCTTATCTAAGGTTATAAGTAAATTTTCTAATTTATCTAGATTTTTAGATAAACTTACGATATTACAATGGAAAAGCATCCATTATTGCAGTTTTTAAATGTCCATAACATAGTTAATGTCCATGCAAAGTTTCATGAAAGAATTATTGGCAAAATTTCTTTCAAGGGAATTATACCTTAAGATCTCCATCTTGTGTAAATAGTTAGCTATATTCTTGGTCATAAATAGTTTTAAAACCTTACAATGGGTGGTTGTCGACTCGAAAGTTTTAACTATTTGATCTTTCTTTTATAATTATTAATTTAGCTTCAACTTTCTTTTCATTATTCATTAATATTGCTCCTGTGAATACTTGTATTATATTTATGTGTGTGAATCAATAAAATGTTCAAATGCTCGTACTAGTTTTTAGAAATCTTTCTTTGTTCAAGAAGGTCGCTAGCACACTTATTAATGTGTTTGAATCTGTCTTTGCCCAGTTTTCCATCATGCCAGCAAGTCACGATGATAACCACATTCTTGGCGTCGCTCTTTTGCAGCAAATGCAACAACCTTTCTCCTCCTAAATTTTCGCCATCATCGTAACCTTCTTCAATGTAGGATTTCTTCTTTTCATCATAGATCCTRCAAGCCCACATGTTGTACTTTGCGTTTGCAATCTTACGATCTTTCTTCAGCTCGTTCAACACTTGGTCAACCTGTTTGCGAGATGTTATGTCGCAAATGTGAGCTTGGAATGTGCTCTTGCGATCTTCGATGGTTTCTCCGTGAAGAATTTCAAACTTTGGGGCTTCCTCGTAAAATTTCCATTTTATTTTCCGTGGTAGAATGCTCACTTTCCCGCTATGGGTCACAAATAAGTCTCGAACGCTCTTTTGGATGCACTTGAACCTAACTTCCCTTAATTCTTCTGCAGTGGTCTCATACCAACACGACACAACAACCATCACATCTGTAGCTCGTGTTCTTTGTAAAAAGCGAAGGAGTTTCGCTCCAGAAGTATCATCGCCATCGTCATCACATTTTTCATCGTAGGCATCTCTTTTGGCATCAAARATCCTGTAGGCCCAGATGTTATGCGTCGCCTTAGGAACATCAGGATCTTTTTTCTTCAGCTCAGCCAAAACTTCCTCGACCTGGTCCTTGGATGTTATCACAGCAAGATGAGCTTGAACCCTGTTTTCGCCATCTTTAATAATTTCTCCATCAAAAATTTCAAATTTAGAGGCTTTTTCCTCGATTCTCATTAAGGTTTCAAATTCCWCTGACAGTTCCTCTCTTTCTTTGGCTAAGAAAAAAAAAGTTGATCGAGTTAAAAGATAACGAATTGGTGTTCACTGTACTTTCTTTCAGCATTAGTGTGTGAGATGTCTGGGCTCAACACCCTTTCAATGCATCTGTCTCTCTTCACTTCTCTACCTATTATAAGGAGCGTTGAAGGCCAAAGGAGGATTCAGTAGTATCCCAAGTGTCTTTGCATGCTTATTGTTGCTTTCTTAAGCTTTCACCGGTTTATGTGAATCTTTTTGAAACGATACTTCTACCTAATATTCTAACATTACCATTACTAAGTTGTGGCTTTAGCACATGACTAATTTGCCAAAATAAAAGTAGTCAGTTGTAGGATCTGTACTGAACCTGAAAATACGCAACAAGTATAACAGTATTTTGACGTGTATTTTTAAATCTCTTGAAGAATTTAGAAATAGATATCGTTAAGTATAACATTACTTTTCAATTTCGGAAATATTAATTTTAGCTGCTTAAATAAAAAAATGGTTTTATCTTGCTCGCCATGCATTCTGGGATACTAGTGGATCCTCCTCTGCTTGAAGTGGTCATAGCTGGATTAAGTATGAAAAGTTGCTTACCTTSTAGCTGTTCTTGTGCTCTTTTGTATTCGTCTTCACTAACAAAGACGTCTAATTTCACCWCGTCATYCTTWGCRAGCTGTCTCAGCTCGTGAGTTATCAGAATTGTTTCTAACTCTTTTGTAAGTTCTCCTGACTGGTATCTGGAACAAAAAAGTTTGGGTTTACCAAAAAATCATTCTTGAGATCAAGAATTAAGGTCATTTGTTCCTGATTCCTTCCTTCCTTCTTTCCTTTTATCCATTCCTCTTCATCTATCTATCTATTTATCCATCCATCCATCCATCCATCCATCCATCCATCCATCCATCC